AATATCATTGCACCAGTTCTCAGCTTTATTCAGAGAAAAGGGGTCAGGTAATTTGTGCCCGTTCTTCAAAATCAGCTTCAAGTCATATATCTTTCGCTCTTCGACTTCGAGATTGTTATAGTACTCAGACATAGCGACCGATTCTCGCACAACCAGAGATGATTTTAACGATATCAGCCTCACAAAAAATTATTATACCGTGTACAGCATGTGTGCACACCTGTTTTCTATGGTATTTCAAAGAAGGCCATGTTTTTCTGAGGCGTGTTGACGGTGTGTTTATTTATTCCGGTAAGTTTTCTACCTGCCGGTATGCGCGCGCAAGTTGTTTATAATTTTTAATGACGTCACTCGCCAAGTGATCTATTATGCCAACTAAATTCTCTATTTTCTAGATTCCAAAATAAATTCCAGGATTCTAAAGTTTCCAGTTCCACTCCAATTCCTACCCACAATAATTCCAAACCCTCCCACATATTCAACCCCACCTTGTTCACTACACCCTTTTCATTAAATGTTTCACAGTAAGGTAGAAAGCAAAGGGTCACGGATGCTAAGCAGTATGCGCATCTCCATATAAACCCCAAAAACATGTTGTAACAGTTGCCATGATCTGAATTTATAACTGTTTCGAAAACCTGCAGTTGAGATTATCATGACAAAATATAACTAATTATTGTTAAACTAACTTTTTAATAAGAAAAGTAGTAAAATATGTTAAGATGATTATTCGTTTTTGTAATGTTAATTTCGTCAGCAATGAATAATATATAATGAATAACATATCAACTGATGAATTATTTATGTTTCTTCCTTTTTGGGATTGGCTGGGTATCATTGGGATCATATTTTCTCAGATTTCCATCTACATTTCTAGCAATTGGGCGAATGGCAAGGCATATTTTTACATATGTACTGCTGGGGTATTGCCCTCTTTTTGTCCCACCACTAAGGAAAAATTGCCCCACCAGTAATCGAGCCCATTTGAAAAAGTTGAATTTTATGAACATTTATCAAGAACCCAGAAATACCCTTGATACACGAGGCAAAAACCATTGCTTCACTTGAGCACAGTCTTTGGTCTGTCTTCTGAGAAGATGAAGTGAGGAACATGATCAGTGACACAGCGCAGCACAGTGTAGCATGGGTCCTTTTTGTGCTTTGCCCTACCACTGAAAATTTCTTAAAATATGCCTTGGCGAATGGAGCACTGCGTCTTTATGGTGTTGTAAGTATAACCAACTTCATGATCTGATGGCTTATCATGACGGCTTGCAATAGCATCTTGCCTACTAGAGTAATTCTCTGGATCATTTTGGCAGAATCTTTTTGAGAGAACATAATGCACACCATTTTGCAACAAATATTTACAAACCTCTTTGAAAGAATGGACAGTCATTTGAAGACCTTAGTGGGTCTGCCAGGATGAAAACATATTTCTTCTTGCATTCGCTGTGACTTCCCCTTCACGTTCATCAACTGACCATGTCCATTCAGAAAAATATGCAAGGAATTAATCTAACCAGGCAAAACGGGAATCATCAATGGAGGAGTATGACTCTAGAAATGGCTTCTTCTTTGAGATATGCTCTGCAGTATTTTTCATATTAAAGCACTCAAAGAATTTATCCATGATGATACAGAATTTTGCTGTTCCAGCAAATTCAGGTGGTCCAAATTTTTCCAAGCATACTCCCACTGTAATACTCTACACTTCAGCAGCAAGGTGAACTCTCATAACAGAAAATGGTGTCAAATTTAAGTGATCGCTTGGTAGTTTTGAAAGCATTTTGAGACCACTGTCCAGATCTTGGAAATAAAATACTGAAATGTGAGACCATAAGATATAGAGACCATGGTTCTGCATAAAGCAAGTGGCACGACCAGATCCTGAATTTGAAAGACAATTGCGTGCAGTCTTCGTTAGATGGGGAACATCAGCCAAGAAAAAAACCGTTCTCATTACTGTGAATATTATTGGCCCACACTTTCCTCTGACTCAGTTTGAAGACCCTTCCTAAAAAGTTTGTGGTAAGAAGAGGCTCCATCAGCAGTGGCATCAATAACTTTCAACTGATCTTCTCTAAACTTTTAATGAGAAAGACAAGAACAGGTGTGGCAAGCTCTTTTACATCTTGGAGTGTGGCTTAATTTGAATCAGTGTCTCCAAGATCAACAAAGCCAATGAGCTCACCAGTTTCCTTATCCCAGACTAGGTCTTCCTGATCTTCATTTCATCAAATAAAATTATAATAAATCTTTCAATAGAAGAGGACTGTTTTGTCTTCTCAGACAATTTTTTGATAACATATTTGTTGAATCCTCTTTGCGGACAAATTTTTTTTTTAGTCTTTTAGGGTTCTTAAACTCGGTAAGATAAAGATTCCAGAGCCAGTTTTGCTGTTGTTGCGAAGATCTGAATAACTGGAGGCGGGTTTGTAAGAGCAAGACAAAACTTTATAATCATAGGGTGATATCAAATACTTCTTGCAGGCTCATTGCTGCTCTTGCCAAAATAACTTCTTTTTGAATCTTTTTGATTGCAACCACTGAATAAGGATATGAAATCTTGACTTAGCTAAGAATCTACAGGTTGACTATGGTATTCCAAGAATTGTCTCATTTCACATACTCTTTGCTCAAGCTGCTTGTATGTAAATCCCTGTTGTTGAAGTGTTAACTTTAGTCTTTCTGTAGAGGTAAATTTAACAGAGGATTTCAATTTAGCAGGTTGGTATAATCGTACTTCTTTGTGTTTAGATTCATATATATATATCTTGCTCCAAAAGTTTGACAAGATGAGCATTAATTGCTTCCATTAATTAAAAGAGAACAGTTCACTGATCTTAAATATTCTTCTTGATTGATTCTTGACTGCAGAAAACTATCTTGATATTGGAAAAAGGAAAATTTTCTTGGGATAATATATGTCTGAATAAAAGTTGCAGCACTTGAGTCCGGAATATGAATGCCATTACATTAAACATATTGCTGAACCTTTTGAATAAAACTTGTTAAAGTAACATCGCCAAATGATATTTCACATTTAGTTTATATATCATGGTCTTCAGTGAGCATCCAGCCAAATATTCGTAAAGAGAAATGAAGAGAAGATTTCGCAAACATTTCATACTTGAGAACCAAATGCTCGGTTGAGTAAGAAGAGATTTTTACCAAAGATTCTGAAAATAAAATATGCCAACAAGCAACCAATTTCAATTTGCCAATACAATTCAGAAATTCAGGAAGACTTTCATAAACCAAGCTAGCATTAGGTGGAGATTCCAAAGATACAGAAGTTGCACGTTCTTCTCTTTTCTTTATAGCAGCTGTTGAGTGTGGTAAAATAGAAGAACTTGGAATGCTCTTTTTTGGGAGACTAAGTGATGGCAAGGCACCATCTTTAAGTCTTTGAAAAATTGTCCGCTGATTTTCTAAAAAAATTTCAATGTTTCCAGTATAAGTTTATCCCTTTTCTCTTGTTGTCTCATCAGTAACTGCAAATCTTTCTCTCTGAGCATTTGTTCCTGTCTTTTCAAATCTAAGAAGTCTTGGTGTTTCTTTTCTTCCAGTGCCAACTGCCTTTCCTTTAATTCATAATCACTCTTCCCCTCACTTTCCTCTCTCATTTTTTTGCCCTGAAAATAATCCACTAATTCAAAACCTGATTTCTTTCTCTTCTTTCCATTCTCTTGTCCTTCCCTTTCCTTTGTCTGTGAAAGCCTCTCCATGGACCGCTTCCTTACACTCTCAGCTGTTTCTAACTCTTTCTCAACTTGTTTCTTTCTTTTATCTTGAGCTTCTATCATTTCTTGTTCAGCTGCCTCTGTAAATTCTGAAAATGCTGCAACTGTCTCCAAGGCTTCATAAAGCTCTGTTATTTCAGGACTGATGCCGCTGGCTCTGTGCTCCTCTCTTGTCTTTTTTAAAGGCCTTCTCAAGCTTCGTATATCGCTCCCTGACGCCCCCTTTGTCTACACAAAACCTTAGCTCCTTAACTACATTAAGAGACTCTGCAAATTTATCCCAAGCATATAAAGCAAGCAAATTTATCACAATGTTTTGGGAATGGCCTTTATGAAGGTACATTATATAAAATTCTGATAACAGTTGTAAAAACTGATGCAAAGATGAAGCATAGAAGGGGTTCAAAGGTCATTTAAGGGGGCTTATATTTAGGGGACTTTGTTTGGGGAAGGAATTATAGTCAGAATTCAGTTAATACCAGTTAATATCGGTCATGTTCCAGAGACATTTGCAATCAAGCTGGATGTTGTGAATAGATGTATGTTAAAATAACCAGAAAAGCACATGGACAAAGGGAGCAAATTTTATAGGCAACAAGCATTAGAAACTGAAAAAATGACAAGTAGTGTTTTCTGGTTAAGAGGAGAATATGGTGTTTTATGTCTTAGTTCAAGCCTCTAGTAAAATTTTTTCGTCCAAATCTTTAAGCGTATCTAGTCTTTCCAAGATCAACTCTTTCAAGCTTTTCAGTTTATTCATTTTTGAATCCGGATCAAAGTCTTTCATCAGTTCTCTCGCTTCCTTCTGGATTTTTGAGGCGTATCTTCTGGTTGTTCCGCGAATTTTCTTTAACTTTTGTATATCTACTTCCATGGCCATATCCGACAGCTTGGTTCAGTGTCAATTATCTGGCTCGGTGGACCACTTTATATCAAATATGTATAAAGATAGAATATAATTCCTATTTTCATGTAGGGCTAGGCCCTCGTTCTGTATTTCCTAATGCTGATAAGACCGTATTCCTCTCGTGCTGTTACGCACGTCCGTTCTCTACCCTTCTTTCCCAACTCTCCTAATCTAATCTAACACGTTGCTACATACACAAGCGCTGTCAGCGGAATAATAAATTTTAATAACGCGTCCATTTCGCAACATAACCGAGAGATTAAAATACTTTATTATACTAGAGTCCAAATTCCATAACACACTCCCCACCTTGATCCAGATGGGGATCAACAACGAATAATATGTAATCATTTAGAGTCTAAAATTCTACGAATAGTATCTGCGTTCAAGGCTGCTTGTCTTCTCGGTCTAACAGGTCTACCGGGTTCAATAGGTCTAGACTGTCCAGCTTTCCATTGTTCTCCCCCAGTGGGACTTGAGTTAGAAATTTCAACATCCGGTACCCTATTTTTGTCGCAAAGTTCGAGTGGAAACAGTGCCTGTAGTTCGATTTCAGAAATTTTCCCTTGTTTCGAAATAACCTTCAAGCGTGCACCCCTTATGTGTTCATCTTTACCACAAATAAGCTTGGTTACTTTCCCTAATCTCCATTGCGATCGTGGGATGTGATCTTCTCGAATCGTGACAATATCTCCCAAAGAAATATGGAAAGATCCTACCTTTCTCGTAGATACTCGATGCTGTTCACATAGGCCACGCAAATATTCCCTCTGCCACCTTTGCCAAAATTGTTGTAAAAGTTTTGACATGTGTTGCATCCTCTTTGAGGCCAGTTGGGTAGTCAGCTGATTTCCCTCGGGTGTGAGCTCCGTTCCATCAGGTAAATGATGGATTCTTTTGCCACAGATCAGATGAGAGGGGGTTAATGGCTGCACAATATCTTCTTCCGTTAAATACGTCAATGGTCTTGAGTTTAAGCTCGATTCAACCTCAATAACAGCGGTTGTAAGTTCATCGATATTTAAACAAGCATTTCCGAGAACCTTCTGCAAGGGTCTTTTAATTTCTTTCACCATCCTTTCATAAAACCCTCCCCACCATGGGGATTTAGCTAAAATAAACCTCCAACTCATAGAATGATGTAACAAGAATTCACGAACCTTTGCAGTTTTAGCAATTTCAAGGATTTTCTTCACAAGAATACTCGCAGTTTTAAATGTTTTTGCATTGTCAGACAAAAGTAACTTCGGAATACCCCTTCTAGACATGAATCTACGCAAGCCAAGAAGAAATGATTCAACTGTTAAATCAGGTACGACTTCAAGGTGGATTGCTCTTGAAACACAACATGAAAACATAAGAATATAGGCCTTAGAAGAAGAATTTTTTCCATGCTCTTTGACAAACAATGGTCCCGCAAAATCTAAGCCTACATTCAAAAATGCAGGAGCAACTTCCGTCCTAAAATTAGGTAAATCCGACACAGGAGACAAAGCATAGTGTTGCCCTTCAAATCTTCGACATTTGGTACAATCTTTGATTATTTTCTTAACGAATTGACGACCCTTAACAATCCAAAAATTCTCTCTTACCTCTGCCAACGTGTCATTTACACCACCATGCAAAACACCTCTGTGACAATCCATAACAACTAACTTTGTAACATCATGATCCTTTGGCAAAATCGCAGGATATTTCTCTCCGTAGGCCATTTCAGAATTTCTGAATCGTCCCTTGCATCTGACAATTCCTTCTGCATCAGCAAACAAACCAAGATTCTTTTCCCAGTCACTGTAACGCTTGTCCGATGTGATATAACGTTGAATTTCCAAAATCCACAATTTCCTTGTGTTATCGACGTCTCCAACTGTTATGATTCCCTTGTAGTCATTTGAACCGTTAACTATGACTTCTGATCCGCGAACTTTAGCCTTTAGATTGTCAATGAATCGCATTACAAGGGCTGTTACTCTCAGCAATTTATTGTAATTACTGAAATTCCTAACATCGATAAAAGTAGATAAATTTCCGTTAGTTTCCAGTTTGGTCAGCAAAGTAAACTCACAGTTAGGCTTCGTTTCAATTAACGCATCCTTGCCAGGTTCAAATTTTTCCGGAGAGGGTGGCCAGGTATGCTCAGGTAGCCTGAGCCATGCAGGTCCCTGAAACCACTTCTCATTCCCCTCTAAAGAGGAAGCATATGCTCCTCTAGATGCAATATCGGCAGGATTGTCAACACCTGGTGTAAATCTCCACTCTCCAGGCAAACTACAGCATTTGATCTTGTTGACTCTGTTATCAACAAACTGCTTTAAATCCTTAGTTGTGTTTATCCAGTACAATGCATTTAGACTGTCAGTCCAATAATATTTCTTTCCAATAACAAGACTTCCTTCAAGAGATTCCTTGACCCTAAACATAAGTTTGGCCAGTATTTCTGCTGCAGTTAACTCCAACCGAGGTATTGAAATCCCTTTCACCGGAGCAACTCTTGATTTTCCTGTGACAAGTGTACTCAATTTGACTCCGCTTTCTGTTGTATAAACTGCGTATACGCAAGCACCAAGAGCTTTCATAGATGCGTCAGCAAAACCATGCAAATCTATATTGTAAATGATCTCCTTTCCTTCAGCAAACATATATCTTTGTATAGCGATAGAATTTGTTTTGTCGAGATCCAGTAACCATCTTTTCCAAATCCGAGTGTGTTCTTGGTTGAGCTCATCATCCCAATTTGTTTTCAACAAGCACAATTCTTGAAACAGTAGCTTTGCTTTTAAAGTTATAGGCGAGATCAATCCTAAGGGGTCAAACATTTTTGCAGCTGTAATCAAAACAGATCTTTTAGTTGGCTCCAAAGAATTTCCGCATCCAACAACACCTCCAAATTTCAATGTTATTAAATCTAGATCTGTGTTCCAGTTTAATCCCAATACTTTCTGTTCGACAGGTCTTTCCAGCTCTTCAAATTTTCCGAATGACAATTTAGTATACGATTCATCCTCTCTTCTTACTCCTCCTAAGGGAACGCCATTTGAGTTGACATCACATGAAAGCAAAATTTCCGCAAGTTCCTTTGAATTGCTATTCCATTTCCGTAGATTAAAGTTTCCTTCGCCATAAATTTGTTTGGCGTTCAAGCATACACTGGTCGCCTCCTCCACTGTATTCACAGATGTCGATAAATCGTCGCAATAAAACGAATTTAGCATTAATTTGACGAGTTCTGGGTCGAGCTGTTCGTACTTCTTTATGTGATGTTGCAAGGTGGCATTCATAATGAATGGACTGCAACAAAGGCCAAATACTACTGCACAAAACCGATAACAAACAATTTGAGGATCTTCGTCATTGATGTCCTTAACCCATAAGAACCTCAAACAATCTCTTTGGCTTTCGTCGACTGCAATTGAAAGAAAAGCCTTTTCGATGTCTGCAATGAGTCCAATTTTCTTCCCTCTGAATCTGAGCAAAATAGCATACAATTGTTCCGTCAATGAAGGTCCTGTATGGAGTGTGTCATTTAAACAAACGCCGTTTGATTTGCTAGAAGCATCGTAAACGATTCGAATTTTTGTGGTGAGAGCTTCTTCTCTTATGACAACTTGGCTTGGCAAGTAATGCACCTCTCCGACTTCAACTGGGCTGGTCAAATCAACCTTTTCAATAATCCCCTTTTCCAGTTGCTCGTTGATTATTGAATCACATTCTTGCACAACATCTGGAGTTTTCTTCAGTCGTTTCAAGGTAGAATTCAAACGATTCACAGAATTCTCAAAATTGTCCGGTAATACAGGCGAGTTTTCTTTGAACGGCAGAACAACAGAATATTTTCCATCCGTAAATGAAACATTCTTTTCAAATGATTCAGCGACAGTTTCCTTGTCTCTTATCCCTATGGTCTCAAAGTCCCAGAATTTATTTAGCTGCGAATCCAAATCTTCACTTGTACATTCCACTTTGAGCAAGTATGTCTCCGTTGACTGTCCGTTAATTTGCTTATCCCGGATAGTTGCACCAGGCCCGTAAAGCACCCAACCCAAAGATGTATTCATCGCTGTGGGGCCTTTCTGGTATTCGTCAGTTCTCACCTCCCCAGTGAAAAACTTGATGCTCTCGTCGCACCCAATCAGTATGTCGACATCTTTTCCTGCATCAACGTCGGGATCATCAGATATCTGCAGGCCATCGAGGTGAGGAAATGCTTTCTGGGTCATTGCGATTTCGTGGCGCTGAACTGGTGAGCAAATGTATGGCACAACCAATGTGCTAATTAGCTCCGGCTGCTTATTCTCCTCAGGTTTGAACGTGTCCTGAACAACGAGTTGTGCGACATCCAAAGTTTCAGATTTTCCAACGCTTTTTCCAAAGGTTTTCAAGCAAACATGCTCCTCCGCAACAGCTGGCAGCTTCAAGTAATTTCGAAGCCTTTCCGTTATATAACTTCGATGACTTCCAGAATCATAGATGATTCTTGCAATAATTTTCCTTCCCGGGTTTGCAGGATTGTAAACTTCTGCTTGAGCAGTTTGCAGCAATATCGAAGGCTTTGATTCCACAAAACAGTTGGTTGTTTCTTCTCTATGAGTTCCGGATTCCGTTTCTTGCGATTTCATCGGTTTTGTTTGCTGTTTCCCTTTTTGGCAAAGACTAATGTGGTGTCTTCCATTACAATTATAGCAAAGGTTTTTTGACACACAATTAAATGCCAAGTGACCCTTCCTCAGGCAAATGAAACATCTCCCTTCTTTGCGTAGAATGCTCATTCTTGCTGTACGATTTGTAATGACTTTACAGTCGTTGGTTTTATGCCTTCCTTTGCAAAACGTACACTGAACTGTTCCACTTTGTGTTTCGTTTACCAGAGCACTAGCCGTGGGTATCCATTTGGACGCCTTCTTCTTGATGCTTAGTGCAGTACTTCCATCGTAACCTGCCAGGTTTTTGCATCTCTCGCGTGCCTCTAATTCTACTTTTAAAATGTCAAGTAGTATTGCGAGATTCCATTCCTCATTTCCGATTTTACGGCTTATTTCCACTTGCAAATCTGACGGCAGTTTCTGTTGTAATACGGGAATAAGAAGAGCTCCATACTGTGCACTATTAATCCCAAGGCTTTGTAGCCCTCTAATATTTGCCTCTATCGAATCATATAGTTTGCGTAATCCATGTACATCAGTTGAATCCGAGCAAGATGGTAACTTCATCAGTGCTTCCATGTGGCTGTTTATAATGATTTGCTTTTGTCCGTATCTTGCTTTCAATATGGAAATTGCTTCCAAATAGTTCGACATTACCACAGGCAATCCAGTCAGGGCCTCGGCAGCCTCTCCCTTCAACAATCCGACTAAATAGTGAAATTTGTTGATTGTTGCAACGTCATCGTTCTCATGAACGGCAGAGCTGAATCCATCCCAAAATTGTTGCCATTCCTTTGGGTTTCCCGAAAATTCTCTAAGCTTTATAGGCTGTAGTTTTACTTGTGCCCTGTTGTTTCTTTTGCTCGCTGTACTAGATTTTGTGCTTGTCCCATCGTTATCTTCTGCTAAAATGTAGTCGATTTCGATTACAGTTTCTTTCATACCGTCTCTAAATGCAGCGGCTTCCGTCACCTCATTGTCGATTTCTTCATCGTGCGCTTCTAGTAAAATTTTTTCGTCCAATTCTTTCAGCGTATCTAGTCTTTCCAAGATCGACTCTTTCAAGCTTTTCAGTTTATTCGTTTTTGAATCCGGATCAAAGTCTTTCATCAGTTCTATCGCTTCCTTCTGGATTTTTGAGGCGTATCTTCTGGTTGTTCCGCGAATTTTCTTTAACTTTTGGATATCTACTTCCATGGCCATATCCGACAGCTTGGTTCAGTGTCAATTATCCGGCTCGGTGGACCACTTTATATCAAATATGTATAA